CCGCCCTTTAAGTATCCGTGAATAATAAAGCAATGGAGTGGACGGGGGTTTTCTGCCAACGTTATTTCCCGACTTTGTAGTGCCCAGACATGGGTAACACGCGCATTAGAGAATAAGAATGCTCTGAATTAAAAGAACTATTGTAACAGTGCATCTCAACTTTTGCCAGATTGGCCACGTGACATGATTGAGCAGTATTGTAAACTTATGTTTATGTTCGAGCTTGTTGTAGTCACCAATTTTGTTCTATTTGAAATTCCAATGTTCTTACCTTGTTTTCTACACTAAAAATTGGGGAAAATTATCCTTGGTATTTTCTTGTATTCCGTTAAATTTTAGAAATAAAGCCAGTGTATTTCCGGTAGCAAATACGATAAGCCGATCCTTAACAGATATCTGACTATATTGCCAACTATTTGCACTATTTCTAATTCTTATTAATGTAGTAAGACATTTAGTGATAAAATATAGTAAGTGTTTGCGTACATATAAAATGGTTTGCACCAGTAACCTCATTCTGTACGAGCGAGGGATATGCTCTCTTGTGACGAAAAACAAGTGAACTTTTGTCTTCCCTGGTGTGAAGTGTTTCTGATTTTCCAACGAAAGCTGAAACATTACATTACATTACATTACATTGCATTACATTACGATACATCGCATTACATTACATTACATACGTCACATCACGTCTCTCACGTCACGCCACATTTTATCACATCACATCACGCCACGTCACGTCTCGTCACGTCACGTAGCGTCACAACACGTCACATCACGTCACATCATATTTCATCACGTAATATCGTACAACACAAGACATTCAAGAAACATTTCTCCCGAATACTCCCGATTGTTGTATCGACGATCTCCGAAAAAAGCCGAAACGTCTGTGGGACCCGAATACTTTCCAGATACGCATGCATCAAAATATTTGATCGAAGTCGAAACGTAAACATGAATGACCGCGTAGTGTGATCAGTGATGTAACTAGAATATTACGGCTCCAGTCCCCTCTTGGTCTTCAACTTTGGTCTTGTTTGTCAAACTAAAATGGACAGAGCACGAATGTCCTGTGACGTAATCGATTAGGAGTTTGGAATCATTCGCTCCACTATCGCCCAAATCAATGCTCACTGTTTTCCAACAAATCGATGTTGGACATTGGTTCGTATGATATATCACGCTCTTAGTTAGGTCACGAATATTCATACAAGGCACCCGCCGCAATTACAATATGCACATTTAACGAGAACAAAATGACAATTCTGAAACGAACACGACACGGACACACATGCTTTTGAAACACCTTTTAAGTTGGAAATAGTATAGCGCCTTTTCACAGAATTTCGTGCATGACATGTGACAGAATAACTTAAAAGTGTGAACTCAAAAAAATATGCATTTTAATGGTTCGTGTTGGCAGTTATACAAAGCGAAATGAAAAGCGCTTCTGCTGAAGACGTAAATCCCGGAGTGAACCCGCGTAATCGTATTTAATCCCACATAATACTTAGAAAAAAACAAAACAAACTAAAAATTTTACTTTTTTATACAAATTGTTGGTGATTTTACGCGCGTCTTTCAAACTTGGGCCCACATGATGACAGGGGTAGAGTTTACAATAAGTTGTTGGAATATAAAAATACGTCACTAAAAAAAATAAAAAAATAAACTACTTTTAGAGGGTAATATTTCAGGCACATCAAACACATTATGAATACATAAAGTTGAATCTCAATATTGTTAGTGGTAAACCAATAATACACTTTTTTAACAAGTCCCTATAATGATGTAGTATTTCTGTGACGTCGACATGGCGTAGATTGGTGCAAGAAATGTTCAAAGGGACAACTGTGATCGGCTTTGCATTCGTTCTTCATCTAGAATTTAGCCAATTTCAAAAAGACGGACGGACGATCACAGATCAACATAATTTCGACACTGTGAATGGCGTTTCTGGTATCACTCACGTCACAGCAGCGATTCGTCGCTAGAGGGCGCGACTTACAAGAACGATGTCAAAAGATTTCATAAAAAGCTGAGAATTTCTAGCCACAGATTTATAATACACTTTCTATTTTACTAATTTTTCAGTATTTTCCAGTCATGTGACGCTCACTGTATAGTTAGTGGATTATAAACAAACACACACATATAAATAAGATTAATAAAGTATATATTTGACATTGTTTTGAAACATAATTGGAAACGTATCGTTGTAAGTTTGTTCATTGGCATTTCTCTAGAACTAGCCTGATAACATTATTCTCATGCAAAGTCCTTATCAATTCGAATTCTTCATTTAAATGATGTTTGCCGCGGACCCCGTCTTCGCACGTCTTGTTGGCTTCTCTGCCATAGTAGTGGTAGAACACTTCGTGACCGTCTGGCGCGAATCGATACGGGTAAAAACCGTACACGGTGAGGTGTTTACAGAACGACATCGCAGCGACAATAGCCTTCATGCCCATGCTGGGGTGACCATGTAACGGAAGGAATCTGTTGAAATAAGTAATAAATATGATCAAACGTATTTTTTTAAAGAATAATTCAACACTAACGGTAGGATATCAATACATGACATTGAAACCCATTTCATTTTGTGACATAAAGGAATACTTTTGCCGCGTAAACAATTGGAAAATATACGACATTACTTGTCTCATGGGACATTATACAGTGACCTTCATTTCTTTTACTGTGTCACCCATAAACACATAAACACAAGAGTATAAACAAAACGTCATTTGCTAGCGCGACGAAACAATTGATCCACGATGTACTATTGCCTTCACAAAATTTCCGGTAACACAAATTATCATTCCCCAAGCATCTTATTATTTTTGTGATGCCGACTTTTGCGAGCACGCCACCAACGTCAAACTAGGTTGAAACTTGAAGAATGTCCTTCTTTAGTAACAAAGAGAAAAGTTAATCGTTCACTGCGAGATCTCGCGTGAAAGGCGTCGACCGAACGTCTGCCGCAAAAAAAAAAAAAAAAAAAAAAAAAAAAAACACAAGCAATTTGATTTTGAATTTGTCGAAATGCTAATTTTTCAGAGGGTAATGTTGCGTTGACATATCTCATGAACATAATTAAATGTGTACAGCACATTATTAAGCGCGTAAATACGAATCTGACGTGATGGTTGGACGCTATGACCTTTGTCCTGTTCGATTTCACGTATAACGCGGGATCTCGCAGTGAATGGAAAATGATCTATTGCTACCTCTAGACTCAGACGTGACAACAAAACGTTGCCTTTTTCACACAAAAATTACACCGGCACTGCTGAAAATGTTTTTTGGAAATACATCAAATTGCTCGAAACTTTGGCGTAAACTTTTAAATTAACAAAACGTTATAAAAAGTGATACACCTAGATTAGCCCCCGAGTATTTCAGTCACCCCTCATGACACATTGCCATGCCAACACACAGTCACGTAATGATGAAATAAATTATATAACTTATTGACGAACTTAAGGGGTTCGAGTTCAAATCAACAAGATAAAGCAATCATCAGTGCGTCCCAGTCATATATTTCTTATTTTCGAACTTCAGTTATGCTGTTTTAAAACTACAAAATACATAGAAGCGGTACTCAGCTTTAATGTCGCGTTTTTGCGCCCTCACAGGCGACCAGAAAGTTGAAAATTTCAATAGACGGCAGAACGCATAAGTTTTAACGTAACTTACTTTAACGTAACTTAACTTAGTTTTACAGAAACTTACTTTTTAAAATTGCCTGACGATCCCTGGAGCGCCGCATTGGCCATTAGAAAAGGAATATCAAGTCCATTTTTTGAAAACTGAATTAAGGGGTCCGCAATACTTGCGTTGACTTGTTTTCTCACAAAGCCGGTTGGGTGACAGATAATGGATTCGTTCAGCAAGCAAGACGTCTCTCGCGCACTGGCCAGAATTGACACTTTATTGTTGCTATACCAACTATAGAAATGACGTAACACTTGCTTATTTACAATTATCAAGTCTGTTTTGTTTCCCACATCCCGCTCGAATCCACTGATTTCTGGTTCATTGCAGCGAATAACGAAATCATTAGAGTCGATGTCAGCCCCACACGTACTGTCTAGAATTATGCCACCGTTTCCGACGAGGGCGCACGTCTGTTTTGGAGGTATAATGTACCTCGTGTGCGCATGTCCAGTGGTCGTCATACTAACATTTTCCGTATATATTCGTACCTCTTGTTCGCTTGGTATTAATTTGGCAATTTGTTCTCTGTAAAAAATAAAATTCACTTTATTTATTTCTTGTTACACTCGGAGTTATTGGGGTTAGTTATTAAGGTTAGTTTCGTGTTCGAACCAAATCTATAACTCTGTAACAATTTATTCACGGCGATATTTCCGATTTCAATATGTTGCCAATATAATATGTATATTTAAAACAGAACGACGAAATGAACACATGTTACCGCTAGTTTCGTGATGCCAACTGGAAATGGCGGATTTTGTCATTAAAACTGATTATTATTTTTTCTGCACTGTTAGTAGCACAGTGACTGAATTCACCGATATGGCGGCATTTATTTTCACGCCCGGATTTAAAGAATTAGTCCAGCGTCGCTAAAATGTTTGCATATATTATATATTTAGACACTCACTTTAGGATTTCTAGAGTGTTTTTAAACGAATCTATATGTGTTTTGTTTGATGTAGTCTTCATTGCCTCATCTGCCTTGGTCGCCACCGGTGTATTCGATGCGACAGCGGCTGTTGGGGTTGGTATGTGGCGCACTAAGTCTGTAGACGGTGTATGCGACACAACGCGAGTATCAACGGGTGTCTGTTTCGGTATTTGGAGCACAAAGTCCACAATGATGTCCCTGAAAAATATAATTTAGTAAAAATATTACCACACAATGATAAAAAGATGTAAAGACATCTTTCAAAAAATAGTTTACTGTGGTGTAATGAATTGGCTATCGAATTTGCAAATTAATATGACAGTCTTTTTGAAAAAAAGTTTCTCAGTTAAACATAATCAACGTACTCTGGGCTAGTACTAAAATAATTAGTTATGCAGAGATTTTAATAATACATTGCGCGTGGCTGCCGCCAAATTATGCAGAAAATTAAATTTAACAACAGTTTCCATGGACTAAATTAAAAGAACGTTTTGTCTTTAAAACCAAAAATATGTTTTTCTCAACACCAACAGGAATCACAACATATGTTTTCAGTGCATGTCATCTAACCATATTGAGACACTGATGCATGTCCGTGCTACAGTGAGAATATATCGTAAAATCAACTTTTCACTGTGTAAGACACTTAAAGTAAAGTTTCTCCGAACTCATGTTTTCATAACATTTTCTTTATCCATTTAACATCAAATGTCACATATGTAAAAATAAAAAAACAGTATTTTTGATGAGCTTTCTGCCTTAGGGGAGGAACAAAATAACGAGCAAACAACGAAAAACATGGCCGACCTTGAACAGTGATTAGAGCAATATCATCATTATCCGTTAATTAGAGTCATTTTACTAATTCCACAGCTGCTTGAATTCTTGCAAACACTAAATAGATCAATATATCACGTGAATTTGATTGACAGTTCACTAAGGTCAAAAATAGTTCACAAAACTTGATTAAATTTTTAAAAAAATAATTAAAGCGATGCGTTGCTATAATCTTTACTGAGCAGATTATCAATGTTATGAAACAACAAGAACAGCCGTTGATCTATGAACTGAGGTACTATTTGCGTAAATATGTATCTGGTACGAGTCACAATGTATTTCTGTTTTGAGAAAACATTTATTTGGTACGATTCACAATATACTTCTGTTTTGAGAAAACATTTGGTACTAGTCACAATGAAATGGGATTAATTATGAATCAAAATGAGCATAATACTCTGAAATAAACCCTAATTTTGAAGCCAACAGGCGCAATTTGAATCAATTTTTTTAGTAAAAATATTTGGCTAGTTTTGTCCCAATCTTCTGAAGGAAAGTGCAGTCTATAAACGGGACTGCTTTAAGAATTGGTTACGAAAAGAGGGAACAAGTTGTGAAAAAATTTAAAAAGGTTAACAATTTAGTTTAAAAGAAAAGGTTTGTTTAGTTGAAAGGTGACACAAGATTGTTTACAGTAAGCGTCTACAAATAAACACTTATTCCTGACAGGTTCACTGCATGGAAATAATCTGCTGAATCTATGAGACTGTTGGCTCTAATTTTCCGAACAAATTAAGTTACTGATATAAAGGTCTATACTCATTTTGATTAAACCGAGTTAAAATCCGAAATACCACCTAAATCACTATAATAGTAAATCTTGCAAATTTGTAGAAATTGTAGAAGGGCGTAATTTCCGTTACGTGTCGTGACGTTTAACCTGCACTGCATTATAATACACAGCAAGAATTCAGTAGCATTAGCTACACGCGTAACTTCACATAAGAAATATACTAGTCTTTAAAGCGGGGGGAGTCGTCACCTGCGCATGCGTCACATGGCTATAGCGTGTCATTGTTTACAAACAAGCGTCTACCCATGAGCTTTTGCGTTCTTAGCGTGTGTTGTTATCATCGCTTAGGGCTCAAATCTTTCGCGTGCGAAGGTGACGACCCTCCCGCTTTAAAAAAATTAGTTTATAGTTCTGAAGCTTATTCTGGAATATTCAATGGTGAGAAATTTCAACATGACATATGTACTACTGGAACAGTTTTCTTTGTTGCACCTATAAAAATGTAATCGGTATTTCCACTACCGATATGCAACTAACAAAAAAACACTATCGCGCATATTATTTTGTTTTTATCTGGTATTCTCCTGGTTAATCCATTGCGCATGCGTATGTCCCGGATATGTGCACTTTCGCGTTTCTATGTATAGACATGGAAAATGGAACATTCCTAGTCGCAGTTTTGGTATAAACGATAATCCAATGAAAAAACAAAACTAATCTGAACAGGCTGTCGCCAAAATTGCATCATTGTTATTCAAACCATGGAACTACAAACCTCAGGAAGAAGATTAAAACACCCTTTGTTTTAGTTCCATGTATTTCCATATCCCAACTTACCATGTTTGATTTTGTCTGTTTGATCTACGAAACCATTGAACACATGATATCATGTACCCAACACAGCCTGCTATGACGATGAAAAGGAAATACTTTCTTGGGAACACCATTGCAATGGTATAGAACCAGCGTTACCTGGAATGATATTAAAACAATGAAACCTAATAAGGAGTTGATCATTAAAAACTCTGGACAGAATGCCAGACATCAGTATCATACTAGAACATGGAAGTTAACAGGAGCGAATATTGTCATGTTGTGTGATTTTTATTATATCAAATTATCTCCGTAAAACTCCGACTGCTTCCGAGGTGACCTGAATGTTAATTATTCACGTAATCGCATTAAAACATAACAGAAAATAAATATACAAATAAAACATATTTTAAACACATGAAGAAGAAACGCCACAACAAATGACCTAATATAAAGCTGGAAATGCTGGAAGTGAAGGAAAACAAATGCACAGCTAGTATTTTCTACCCAGCGTGTACATGGTCAACTCAGTATGTTTTTAGGCGACCAACAAGCGTCAGGTCACAGCCTCTCGCAAACAAAATGTCTGTATGTAATATTTTCCCGTGTTTATCGCGATTGTGTAAATCTACAAGAACAGACAGGCGCCACAAAATTAATATAGACTGCCACTTACTGAGATCTCAGAACGTTGAGTGGACGACAGGACGTGGTCATCTCTCGATATTGAATAAATGTATTTCTTCAGGTTCATAGGATGCAATTCAACTCATACAGTCCCGGTGTTATCCATGTCTATTTCCAGTCTAATTTCAGAATTAATTTCACTCGTCGTATGTTCCATTTATATCCGGTAATTAGTATGCGCAGTTACTCAGTTACCCAGATACGAAAATGCCTTTACTCACCTCCACTCGCTTATTAAGAGCATCATATGTAGTTATTCAGCAATAACAATGATTTGAAATATTTTTTTTCAATGATTTGAATGTTATTTTTCTGGAAAACGTCACAAAGTTTCGTTCGATTTCATTTATTCAATCATATGCGAATTAAACGAAGCTGAAAGGGAAATTGAATTATCATGTTATTATCCATTTTTAATCCAAGTGAACAGACTGTGTTGAATAGAAATTACATATTCGCACAACTGTAGGTTTTATACTACAATTTCACATCATAATTTTGTGCAACGAACGAAAGGGTATTGCAAACTGTTTTATTATTAATTGTGATTCCAGGATAACCAAACTTTAGAATTGTGAAATTTAGTGAAAATTGTTTTTTTGAAATGGCGAAAGACACATCTGCAGTGGATCAACATTTCCAATATTGTCAGTGACTACTGTGGTCACTTCTTCCAATATTGCCTGTACCAGCGTGGTTGTCTCCGTTTGGGTTGTGGGGATCCCTTTTCAAAATTGATTTTTCAGCGTGGTTGTCTCAGCATCGTTTGTATTGTGAGGCATCTTTCCCGATATTACCCGTATCAGTGTGATAAACGCAGCTTCATTAACAGCATAATGACACACTTTTAAAAATGGCTTTTCTCATCGCGAAAGTCGTCTGCTAATAAACCATGACCTCACCACGGGAGTCGTCTGCTAACAACCATCACCTCACCGCGAGAGTCGTCTGCTGACAAACTATGAGCTCACATTGAGAGTGTCTGATAACAAATCATGACCTTACCTCGAGAGTATCTGCTACCAAACCCTGGCCTCATCGCGAAAGTCGTCTGCTAACAAACCATGGCCTCACTACCAGAGTTGTCTGCTAACAAACCATGGTCTCACCACGATAGTTGTCTGCTAACAAACCATGGCCTCACTACCAGAGTCGTCTGCTAACAAACCATGGCCTCACCACCAGAGTTGTCTGCTAACAAACCATGGTCTCACCACGATAGTTGTCTGCTAACAAACCATAGCCTCACTACCAGAGTTGTCTTCTGACAAACTCTGACCTTACCGATAGTTGTCTGCTAACAAACTATGGCCTCACCTCGAGAGTGTCTGCTACCAAACCATGGCCTCACCACAAGAGTTGTATGCTAACAAACTCTGACCTTACCCTTAGTTGTCTGCTAACAAACCCTGACCTCACCACAAGAGTTGTATGCTAACAAACTCTGACCTTACCCTTAGTTGTCTGCTAACAAACCCTGACCTCACCACGAGAGTCATCTGCTAACAAACCATGGCCTCACCTCAAGAGTGTCTGCTACCAAACCCTGACCTCATCGCGAGAGTTGTCTGCTAACAAACCTTGACCTCACCACAAGAGTTGTATGCTAACAAACTCTGACCTTACCCTTAATTGTCTGCTAACAAACCCTGACCTCACCACGAGAGTCATCTGCTCACAAACCATGGCCTCACCTCGAGAGTGTCTACTACCAAACTCTGGCCTCATTGCGAGAGTCGTCTGCTGACAAACTCTGACCTTACCACTAGTTGTCTGCGAATAACCATCACCTCATTGCGAGAGTCGTCTGCTAACAAACCATGGCCTCACTGCGAGAGTTGTCTGCTAACAAACCCTGGCCTTATTGCAAGAGTCGTCTGCTAACAATTCCTGACCTCAACGCGAGAGTCATCTGCTAACAAACCATGGCCTCACCACGAGAGTTGTCTTCTGACAAACTCTGACCTTACCACTAGGTGTCTGCTAAAAAACCCTGACCTTACCGCTAGTTGTCTGCTAACAAACCATGGCCTCACCGCCAGAGTTGTCTGCTAACAAACTCTGGCCTCACCGCGAGAGTCGTCTGCTAGCAAACCATGGCCTCACCGCGAGAGTGTCTGCTAACAAA